CTCTTCCTTCCCATCACTTCTGCTCTGCTTTGCCTTTCCACCCCTTTTTTCCTCCCCCCCGTCCCATAAACTAAGCTCCAGCGGGGACCACACCCCACCCCACCCCCCCACCCTCCATATCCCCATCACCCACCGGTGATCTCCACGATATTGTCCTTGGTCTTGACCACCAGCTCCTCGGGGGCGAAGTGGTTGACGTCCAAGGTGACCTTCCAGCTGTCGGCGGTCTGGCGGATCTCGGAGATGCCGCTGCTGAGCTGCCGGCTCAGCGCCTGCCCGAAGGGCGACCCGGGGGCCGGCATCAGGGCGCTCTCCCGGGGCAAGAGACGGAAATAGCCGGGCCAGGCGGTGCCGCTGGGCCACTTGTACCAATCCTCGGGGATGTGGGGCATCCCGAAGGACTGGTCGAAGAGGCGGCTGCCATGGTACCAGTCGCGGAAGGGGTCCCAGCTGGGGCTGCGCAGGAAGGTGAAGGGGACGCGGCGTTCGGCCATGGTGCACGGGGCTGCTTAAGGGGGGGTGGAGAAGGGTGGTGGCCACCGGCCACTTATGAAGAGGGCGGGTGGGTTATTTTTAGCCGGGAGGCTCAGCTGGCTATTAATGGAAATTGCAGCAGGGCCCAGGGAAGAGACGAGAAACTTTCCCTGGGTTGGGGCGGCCGCACGCAGCCGCATTTCGCCGGGGTGGGCGGCACAGGGATGGAGCTGGCAGCACCCCCCCATCCCCTCCCCTCCCCGGGTCCCTCCCCGCCAGAGAAATGTCCATCTGGCTCTCGCCGCGGGAGGTTTGGCTGGTTGAGAGTGATGGATGGCCCTTGGAGCTGCTCCCGGCCTCACCCCCGCCTGCCTGCATTTCTCACCCGTAAAACCATCCCAGGGATGGGGAGGGGGCTGGGGCTGGGCCAGCACCTCGGAAAGGGGGGGATGAGTCAGTGGAGGAGCCCGTGCATGGCCCCGTGCTGCTGCGTCACCCTCCAGCCAGAAGCTTCTGGAGCCCCCCAGCAATCCAGCACCTCTGTGGCCCCCGGGCTCAACCTTGCGGTGGGGAACCCCCAGCAACAAGTTGGGGTGAAGCTGCCTCGGCCCCTGGGGGTGGGGGTCCCTGGGGCCCGTGGGGCTGTTGAGGCTCATGGGGCTTCAATGGGACCAGTGGGGATTAATGGGGACTGGTAGGGGGTGATGGGTCTTTCTGGGGGCCAATAGGACCAGTAGGGATTGATGGGGACTGGTAGGGGGTGATGGGTCTTACTGGGAGCCAATGGGACCAGTAGGGATTGATGGGGACTGGTAGGGGCTGATGGGTCTTACTGGGGGCCAATGGGACCAGTAGGGATTGATGGGGACTGGTAGGGGGTGATGGGTCTTACTGGGGGCCAATGGGACCAGTAGGGATTGATGGGGACTGGTAGGGGGTGATGGGTCTTACTGGGGGCCAATGGGACCAGTAGGGATTGATGGGGACTGGTAGGGGGTGATGGGTCTTACTGGGGGCCAATGGGACCAGTAGGGATTGATGGGGACTGGTAGGGGCTGATGGGTCTTTCTGGGGGCCAATGGGATCAGTAGGGATTGATGGGGACTGGTAGGGGCTGATGGGTCTTACTGGGGGCCAATGGGACCAGTAGGGATTGATGGGGACTGGTAGGAGGTGATGGGTCTTACTGGGGGCCAATGGGACCAGTAGGGATTGATGGGGGCTCATGGGACATGATGGGGGTTGGCGGGACCTCATGGGGGCTGGGGAGCTGATAGAGCTGATGGAGTCAGAGGGGCTAGAGGGGTCAGCACCCTCTTGGGGTAGGGAAGGTGGCTCCTTCCCGTAGTCTTTTGCCCTCACCTCCAAAGGTGACTCTCAAGTGCCCCCCTCCTGGCATCTGGGGAGGGATTCCCATTTAGGGCCAGTTTCCAGGCCCCCGATGCTGAGGAAGGGGTTTTCCAAGCCCGGTGATCCTGGCAGCCCCTGGGACCCCACCACCTCCACCCTATCCCTCTCTGCTCCCCAGCCTCGGAGAGTGGGACCAGTCAGTTTTTGGGGGACAAAAGCACAGTGGTGGGATGTGCCCTCCCAGAGCTGAGCTCTGGCTGTTTTGCTTCAAAGAAACCTGTGACCGGCACCAGGAGAGAGGTAGGAGCTGAGACCTGGCCCACTCAGTGCAAGGATGGTGACTCTGGGGAGCCCTTCCCACGGGGCACAGATGGGGACACAGTAAGGAGGGACGCAGGGGGGATGCCTCAGCAGGGGATTTTGGGGGTGCCCCCCCACTTGTGGCTGCACTGGGTGCCAGCCTCTGCCAAACCCCTTTGTCTGGGGCAGAGCCTGGAGTTGTCACTGCTGTCACCGACTGGGGGAAAGGGCTGAAGGGAGCTGGGGATGGAGGTGGGAGCTGCATCCTGCTGGGGCTGGGGGAAAAGAGAGGGGGCGAGGAGCTGCAGGGAGTGTGGGGGTGAGGGGATGGGGAGGGATGCGGGGAGGGATGCAGAGAATGACGCAGGGAGGGATGCAGGGAGGGTAGGGAACAATGCAGGGAGTGTTGCAGGGAGGGACGGGAGGGATACAGGGAGGGACACAGGGAGGGAGAGGAGGGAAGAGGGGAGGGATGCAGGGAGGGATGGGAGGGATGAGGGGAGGGATGCAGAGGAGGGGAGGGACGCAGAAAAGGAGGAGAGGAATGCAGAGACAGATTCAGGGAGGGACCAGAGTGATGCAGGGAGGGATGCAGAGGAGGATGCAGGGAGGGATGCAGAGGGGGGATGCAGAGGAGGATGGAGGGAGGGATGCAGAGGAGGGATGCAGAGGAGGATGCAGGGAGGGATGCAGAGGAGGGATGCAGAGGAGGATGCAGGGAGGGATGCAGAGGAGGGATGCAGGGAGACAAGGGATGCCAAAGGGAGAGGAGGAATGCAGAGACAGATTCAGGGAGGGACAGGAGTGATGCAGGGAGGGATGCAGGGAAGGCTGCAGGGACAGATGAGATGGATGGGAGGGTTGCAGGCAAATAGGAGGGATGCAGGGAAGGATGCAAGAAGATGGGAAGGATGCAAGGGGACACCTCTGCCCTGGCAGTAGGGCTTCCTCAGAGGGTTCCCCCCACCCAGCACAGGATGGTCTGGGCAATCAGACACAACTGGTGCCCAGTGCTGCTCTGCAGGAGCCAGAGGCTGATGCACCAGTGAAGAGCAAGCCATGGATGGCTGGAGAGAGGGAAGGGGTAGAAGAGGGTAGGTCCTCGGGGAGCTGGACACGAATAAGCCTGCAGGGAGAGAGGGAGCAAGTTAACCCTGTCTTACTGCCCTTCTTCCCCCCCCAACCCTATGAAGAAACCGCTCTGTGCCCGGCAGGCTCATTTACAATATATACTGTATATTTTATTATAATTGAACCAGCTCACTGAATCTACAGCTGTACTCACAACCCAGAAAAAAAAACAAAAAAAAAAACAAAAAAAAAAGAGAGAGCGCACGCGCGAGAGGAAAATACTGAAGTATTTCTACAGAGTATTTGTTCCAGTTAGCTCCCTCCGCGGCAGGAGACAGAGACTGTAAAAGAGGAAGACTGGAAATTTTCCCTGATGTGCTGGCTTGTCCGCGCCGGCGCTGCAGTCGAGTCTTGGGCTTTTGGGAGCCGCAGCCACGGGGGGGGCTGCAGGGTTGGGGGCTGTGGCCACTGGCAAAATAACCACCAGCCAGTGAATTTGGATGCTTTCAGAGGACAACCCCCCCCTCTCCCTCTCCCAGCAGGGTTTAGGGGCTCCCCCGGCCAGTCTGAGCTTCCCTGTGGGATGTGGGGGACAGGGGCTGCTGCAGCAGTGGCTGGAGAGGGGTGGGATGGTTTTTGGAGCCCGTGGCTCCTGGGTTTGTAGGGATGCTGGGCACTCATGCCCTTCATCTCCCCAGGCTCGAAGGGAGCTGGCCCCTTCATCTCCTCCTCCTGCCAAGGTCACATCCAGAGCTGCCACCCTGCCCGGGGCTGGCACATGGGGACAAAGTGAGCCACAGAGAGCCATGAGCGTGTCCCCTCCTTACCTGTTCACCCCATTTCTAATGACTCTGCTCGTCTGGGCACCTCAGAGGGTGACCGGTGGCTTTGCCAGCAGAGCAGGGGGCGGGTAGGATACCCAAGGGGCTGGCATCCCACACAGCCCAGCTTCTGGAGATGTTTCTCCAAGGGCTGGTGAATCCCCAGCCCTGGTTCCTCGATGTGCCGGGTTTGGGAGATGACACTGGAAGTGTCCCTCGCTCACATCTCTGCTCTCTCTCGGGACCTCTGGTTCATCAGGCCGCCAGCTAACGAGGCCGTCGTGTTACCAGCTGAGCTGGAAACCACAGGGTTCCCCCCCACCCCCCCCTTCCCCGGATCCCAGCTGGCTGGAAACCAGTGTCAAGTGGGACTTGCCAAAGCCCAGCTTTTCATCCGGGGGCAGCGGGTTAATCCTGGCAGCTGCTCTCCCACCCAGGGAGGCTCATCCCCATCGTCCTGCTCCAGCCGGCCGGAAAACAGGGGGCCCACGAGGATTAAACACCAACAGCCCCATCCTCAGCACCTAGGGAGGTTTGGGGGGGGGGGATGACTTTTTTTGTTTTTTTGGAAAATCAGCAAAGTCCTGCAAAAGCGGGGCTGCTGGCAAAGGCCAGGACCCTCCCGCCTCTCTCTTTCTGTGATTAAGTTTTAATTAAAGCTGCCATTCGGCCCCAGAGCAGAGGGTGGCCGGGGGCTGGGAGCCCAAAGGCAGGGGACGACATGCCGAAGCCGGAGGATGGCTGGATGCAGCCTCGGGGGGTTGTGGGGGGGAAGGTGGAAAATCCCCAGCCCAGCCCTCAGCCCCACAGCTCCCCCCTCCTGGGGGTGACGGCTTGGTGTCCCCCCCAAAAACTGGGTGAGATGGAGGGGTGCCAGGGACAAGCCAGGAGGAGCAGCATCAACCCACAGGGGTGCCCCCCCCCCGCCCCAGCCCTGCCCTGGTCATCCCAGCTCAGGAAGAGATTTGGGGGGGTGCTGCTGGGTGCCAGGTTTTGTTCATCCGTGGCTCGGCGTGTGCTTGGGCCTGGGGGTGGACGGGGGCCCCAAATGGTTCACGGTGCCCCTGTCCCCCAGGACACCATGGGGACATCATGATTCCTCTGCCGGGGGGCTAATGGCTGGCTGGCATCACACTCTCCAGCCCAGCCTGAAGACACCCCCTCCTGCCCCCACCCCACCCCAACCCCCCCC